AAAACTTAGTTTACATACGTTTGTAAATACCAACAACATCACTTTAATGACGGATAAAAGTGTTGGAATTAGAAAATGTGTTTTCAACGTCTCTAGTACATAGATTGGAAAAATGGCTATTTATAATTGTGTTGGAAATAAGATGTTATATATGCAATATAAGTGTAATAAGATACTGCCCAATTAAAACTTAGAAGTTACATTACAGTTGGTGAGGGACTCATTACAGATAGGTAGATAGATAATGGCATAGTTTTAGCCTAGAAGTCGTATATGTCTGATACACGTCTCATCATTGTCATCAAAGTAAAACTTGGAAATTTGTGAGAAATATCCAAGCATTAAATATTACCAACAACATATAGATGATTGAGGAAGAGTGGAGAAACATATTTCTATTGATTTATTCTCAAATGCAGAAATTGTTCGTGTATTAAAACACTATTTTTAATACAAAGAACTTGGTGTGTTTTGGCAGCCCTGGTTGCCTTCTTAAGAGATATTTACTTCGTATGTAACTATGCTTTTTTATTTTATAAAGACACCATTGCATACTAGGTAAATACCTCTGAAGGAATACATTTTTTATTAAAAAAATAGAGTTTGAATTTATGCTTTATAACGTTAATTAAATATTAGAAAGAACTATGTTTTCTTAATTCACACAGGTATTTTTCGGTTGTACAAAGTAAACTTTTTTTATTTTTCACAAAGTTTCACCAGATTTACCTGGCATCATCAGGTAGGACACAAAAACTGGTGTATCCCATCTGATGATGTCAGGTAAACCCGGTGAAACGTTGTGAATGAGATAAACAAAAGTTTTACTATGTACAACCGATAAAAAATTGTGTGAACTTTATAACGTCGTTTTTGTTCCTTATATAGATAGATTGGAGAACGAATGAGCCTAGATATTTAGTTATATACACATATATTCATTGTGTATTTATAAGTGTTTTGTTTTTAGGGGATTTTTCGTTCTCATTATTGATTATTTTTATAATTTAATATCAAATTATTCACTTTTTCCACAGATACAGAAATTCAGGTTAGTGTTTGTTTTTGTAAGGTTTCTTATACAGATTGGTACGTATTCCATCATATAGGTAGACATTACCTCAAAGGCCAGTAGACCAATGCTGAAACTGATCCTTCTAACGTTTAACTTTTAAATTCTGTCAATATGATTGGACGGTTTTATTTTGCTGCATTTGCCTTTAATAGATAATACTCGTAATAAATCACTTATAACACATCTTTGTTTTCCTGTTAAAACTATAAAAACGTAAATGAAAGTCATTAAAGTCTCTGCTACAGGTTTGTTTCCATATTTTACTATGTGAATCAGAGTAGAATGAAGAATGTGGTGCAGGAGTTACCATATCTTATGACGTTATTTTTAATAGTGAATTCCTTTGGACAGTTTCAGTTTGAGGACATTTTAACAAACTCGTCTCATCGATCTGATAAAGGCTGTCGCAAGACAGACGAAGTGAGCTATGTCATATTCTTCAAACTAATCCTTCCCCAGCAGACATTTTGTGAAGAGTTAAATTCGTAGCTGCCTTCAAATCATACAAAAGTAAATATAGAAAAACGTGATGACCGTCGCCTTAGAAAGATTACTTTTTACTTTCATTGCATATAAAACGCTTAATAAAGGTTGACAGTTTCAGTGTTGCCTACGTGTGACTGTACCAATGTTGATTCGTGCTGTTGTGTGTTGCCTACGTGTGACTGTATCAATCTAGATACATGCTGTTGCCTACGTGTGATTGTATCAATCTAGATACGTGCTGTTGCCTACGTGTGACTGTACCAATCTAGATACATGCTGTTGCCTACGTGTGACTGTATCAATCTAGATACGTGCTGTTGCCTACGTGTGATTGTATCAATGTAAATACGTTCTTTTATGTTTTGAGGCATTAAAAGGTCGACATAACTTAGAAATCTATGTTCACGAAATTGGTAAGAACACAAATAAAACACAAAATAACCAGTTAGTTTACATAAGATAATTAGTTAAACTAACTTAACTGATTCTGTTGAGCAGTATATTGGATCTAAACCAAAACAGATCTAATAATTTTGATTGATCTGACGTAAACCTACTTATTTAAAGACTGTGTAACCTAATAGTAATAGCTCAACCACAACAAAGCTGTGGGTGTATTATTATCCACAACACATTAAACAAAAGCTATATCATAACACTTGTTAAACATATAGGATCAAAATGGAGGCACCTTGAAATTAAAGCCTGACAACCCGCTGTTTTTTTTTTGTTTTTTTTTGGAATGTGGACCATTCAGTTTTCTGTATGTCTATATCCACTTTCAAACTCAATTAGAATATTATCAAAAATCCTCGGTAGTACAATAGTGTTAGTGCGAGTATTTTAAAGAAAGAACGTAGACTATTCTGAAATTTCTCACCAAATCACTTGTTAAAAACATAACTATATAAGAATATCGTTTTTATAAAATGTTTAAGAGCCCTCTGTATTTAAGACAAATTCGTAGCGATGTATTTTATAAACTCGGTAATGGAAGCAAACTAAGATAGTAATAGTGTCAACATAAATATTTTAAATAGTAAACATTAACATTGTACTTTGTAACAAATGAGCTACTAATGGTAAGTATTCTTTATTATCATCATTACCATATTAGAAAACCCACCTTTATTAAATTGATAACATTCAACATTTTTTAAAGCCAAGTTATTTATAACTACAGAGGACCATATGTAAGTTATAATTTTTGTAGTATTTAATTTCTATACATTCGTTATGTAATTGACTGTTGTATTGTAAAATAGATACTACATAGCTGTTTACGTAAACGACGCAGTTATCCTGGCGCGTGCGCAGTGCAAAAGGCTGTACGAGTCGAAGATGCTTGCCATAATCTTAGCAAGTGCAAAACACAATCACGTGTTATAACGTATTGAAATTAGGCTACGTGCGTGTACGTGCGTTTTCCCGCCAAAAGAAGTGTCCAATCGGTTAAGAACTACGTAGAAATGTGATTTTTTATTGGTGATTCACAACGTCAGAGGAAACAAGACACGCTCGAGGTGACTTCGTGTATTAAATATATGCAAGAGCTACGTGACCATAAAATATTTACAATCCAGAGCTAGTAAGATAGCTAACGCTGTACGTATACCCCCATATTTGGTTACTCTTACTGGTGATCTGAAAAGAAATTTTCAAAAAATGCAAACAGTCGAAGAAGCAGTTTTTACAGAATATGGTGGCTTTGCTGATCAAAACCTAAATGCATCATCACACAAACGAAAAAAATGCGTCCGACGCTGTTTATTTGGACGTCCAAATCACGATGAAACAAGTCGTTCTTTAAAATACGAACTTGAATGTATATATGCTAATGACAGTTTAAGATGGAATTTCGATTTTAGGGAGGAGAAACCATTGAGTGGATCATGGGTGTGGGCAGAAGTTGGGCAAAATGATCCGGAAATTCCTAACGTCTACGGTCGAATGGTTAATAGAGATGGTGTGGAAAACAACTCCCCACGTGCAACTGTTCCTCTACCTGCTGAAATAACCACAGAACCATCTAATGTAATAACAGATACATCCCATGCTGTGACTTTTACGAACCACTTGAATAGAGTAGGTGTAAGAAAGCAGCACTCAAAATCATGTCAAACATCGCTTTCTGGTAAGGTTATATTGGTTATAAGTTATAATATTCAAACTTAATAAGTTACCAGCGAGTTAATTATAAAAATAAACAGATGCCTTGAAACCCCACCCTTGAATTTAAAGTAATATTATCTCACTTTGACAAAGTCAGAGTAATATTAGAGACGTAATAAGATACTTCAGTTACATTGGCAACTTAAGCGTACAGTAAATAGAAAGGCATTGTAAAAAGTTTTTTTTCAACCTCTTCAAGTACATCTTAACTAAAAACCACAATACACACGTGAAATCAATAAAGTATTTCAATGAAATAACAAAAATATGGTACTGGATTTCATAATTACAATTGTTATATGTTCTCTGGTAAAAATGCTTTACTGTGCTTCAGAACAAATCCCCTTAACAAGGCTTACCCAATACACCTAAATTAAAACCTAAGAAATGACAAGTCGAGCATTTTTGTGGTGTACTCTAGTCTGTATTATTTTCAAGCACGATGTAATATATATATAAATATATATATATATATATATATATATATATATATATATATAGAGAGAGAGAGAGAGAGAGAGAGAGAGTAG